CGGCCCCCGTCTCTCTCCCCTGGCCCCGTCTCTCTGCCCCGGGCCTGTCTCTCGCCGTGTCTCTCACACCGGGGCCGCTCGCAGCCGCGCTCTGCAGGCGCGCGGCCCCACTGGGGCCCATGCCCAACGAGGACATCGATGTCAGCAACCTGGAGGCGCTGCCCAAGTACCGCAGCTTCACCCGCTACTTCAGGCTGGCCGAGAAGGAGGGCAGGAAGCCTCGGTGGTGGAAGACGTACCAGCAGTACAGGACCCCCAAGACAGGTACACGCGTGTGGAGCTCTGCTTGCCCTGTCCTTGCTGGAGATTGGGGAAGGTCTCTCTGGTTGTAGACTGCGTCCTGTTTCCCCAGAGAGGCTTTTGCAGGGTTTTGGGGGTTGGGTATTTTGGGTTGTGTATTATTGACACCCCTGATTTTTCACCTTTCTGTGAAGAGCCCAAGACTGACATCAGCCTGCCACGTGATAAACCGCTGCGGATGGAGAAACTCAAGGAAAGGAAAAGGGTTCTCAGGCAGAACCACCAGGATGCTGAGATGGAGAGAGCAGCACGGCTCCGAACAGGTCTGTGCGCCCTCTCCTCTGCCCTGGGCACTCCCTCTCCAGCAGTCCCTCTGTACAGTTGTTTCTTTTTGCAGAGCTGATCCCTCTGGATGAAGTCAGAGCTGAATGGGAGAAGACCTGCGGCCCGTACCACAAGCAGCGCGTGGCAGAGCACTACGGGATATTCCGTGACTTGTTCAAGGGGGCCACGTTCACCCCTGGCGTTATCCTGAGGGTGGGATACAACCAGGAAGATGAGCATGTTGTGCCAGTCTATCATGGGAACATAGTGACTCCATCGGAGGTATGTGGGAAGAGCTCAAAACATCCCCGACGCTGCGGAAAAGCACTTTTTGTCCTGATTGCCACCACTCTTTGGTGGGAATTTCTTTTACAAGAGTATCTCCTCTATGATCCAGCAAATGTATGTTCCTTAGACATGATAAGGGTAGAACTTTCCAATGGGTTTGTTGTCTGCTGACAAACTGGTGTTTTTAGTGCTCCCCAAGCTCTTCAGGTGGAGCTGGGTAGCTGTGGCATGGCTGTGTCTGCTCTGTGTGGCTCCTTGGCTGTGCCCGTGACAGCTTTGCCTTCTTTGCCTTTGCAGTTGTGACTTGGTCTTAATGGAAACAGCTGTCCAAGCAATTTATGTTCTCTTTTTATTTCCTATTTAGGCTTCCAATCCCCCCGAAGTGTTCTATGAGGCAGATAAAGGTTCCCTGTGGACTCTGTTACTCACAAATCCAGGTGAGCAGTGAGTTCTTTAAGAGCTGTATTTAAACCATGCCGTTTCAGCCTGCTTTTGGATAGGAAGCTCCTGTTTCTTTCAGCTGCACAGTTAGAGAAGATGTGATACCTGCTATGTAGGGGCTGTCACCTAAGATCTAGGTCCAGAAAATAGCTTCAGAGATTGTGTTAAGAGAGTTAAAATTTCTTTGCCTTGGAAGAAAGTTGTGTCTTCCAAGAGTGCTTCTGTGCCCCTGTGTCACTTGTTAGATGATGAGTGGATGTTTGCAAAAATTGCTGAGTGTTACCTCAATCATTTACACCTGCAGGAAAGATGTTCCTCAATCATTTACACCTGCAGGAAAGATGTTAGTCTCTCCAAATCTCTGGACATACAGCAATATTTTGCCCAGCTGACAAACAGGCCAGTGACAGCACAGGACCCATGTTACAGCATAGGGGAAGCAGTTCCCAGGGTTGTGTTTACTGCCAAACTCTTCTTTGCTGAGCATAGCTTGCCTGTTTTTATTGCCCTCTCCCTTTGCCGACTCTCTGGCAGGTAGGTTAGCACTCCAGGAAACCAAGTTATGCTGAAATGAAGCAACTGTGATCCAGTGTCATCCAGAAAGTTCTCATGATCTTGGGATTACATCTGTAGTTCTTGACTCCTCGTTTTGAGCTCAGTCCTATAAGGATGAGTTATTTTTCTGTTTCAAGAAAAACGGTGCAATGTTTCAAAGTCCCTCCTCCATTCCAAGGGAATATGGACATTCTTGCTTTGAGGTTGATGCAAATACCACGTTGTCCCTAAGGCTCCCTTCTCCATTGTTTGCACTTGCAGACGGACATTTAAGAGACACCGACTCGGAGTACCTCCACTGGCTGGTGTGAGTATTGCTCAGCAGAGCTCTGTGCTGCTTGGCTCAGAGAAAACCCAGAATGAGAGGGTGGAAACTCTTCCAACAGTGCTTGGGAACAGATGTGTTGCCAGGATGATTCCTTGGCTCTCTCATGCTCCTGCCCCAGACTTGTTACATCCGTGTGTTCTGGGTCCTGATAAAAATGCAGTAATTCCGAGAGCTGTTGCTCTTCTACATTCAATTCACTGGGTGTGATTTCTTCCAGTAAAATCAGCCTCCACTCTGCACATTTCTTAAACAGGGTACATAGCTCATGTCAAAGACTAATGCAAAGTGACTCGCAATCCTCTGTGAAAATCGTGATCCTAAAGGGGAATGAATGGTTTCTTAGGGACATCAACTTCTTTGTGTTCAGGACAAACATCCCAGGCAATGACATCAAGTCAGGAAAGGAGATTTGCCATTACCTGCCCCCTTTTCCTGCCAGAGGAACTGGTTACCATCGCTTCGTCTTCCTCCTCTTCAAGCAAGACTGCCCGATAGATTTCAGTGAGGATGCTCGACCAGTGCCATGGTAATTCAGGCTTTCACTAGGCCATTTCACCCTTCCTTTGGATTAGAAGTTAATGCTTGTTATTACAGTGTGCTTACTGCTACCGCAGCAGAGTAGTTCCTTTCGGCTTGCAGGGTTGTTAGGGCTTTGCAGTTTGCATGTTGTCTGAAGCTAGAATCCCAGCCCTGCAAGCCCCATAAGTGTCATTGCCTTAAAGCAGGACTTTAAGAAAGTGATTTGCCCTGCCATGGGCAGATGTATAGAGCTGAAGAACCAGGGATATCTCTCTTGGTGGCTTCCTTTACCCGTTCTGTTTGTAAACTCCGGGGTGATATGGGGAAGTAGCTGCCTAACAAGATGCTGTAGGAAAGGAGATTCCTGTCAGCTCTTGTGCTTGTGTCCTGTTTGCAGCCACAGTCTCAAGATGAGAACCTTCAGGACGTTTGACTTCTATGAGAAGCATCAGGACCACATGACTGCGGCAGGGCTGGCATTTTTCCAGTGTCAGTGGGACTATTCCGTTACTCAGATCTTTCATCAGCTGCTCAGTAAGAAATGCTCCATGCCTGGGTGCTGCAGGGGGCCTGTTTGGCGGTTGGGACGTGGCTGCTGCTCATCAAGTGCATGATCAGTGAAAGAACCGTTGCTGTAGGTTCTTCATTGATCCTGGCTGTCACTGGGGAATTTAGACCTCTTACAGCACAAAGTAAGGATTTATTGAGTCATCCTTCACCATATTAACAGCTGTTTGAGGAAACAACTTCTGAATGAACCTTTTAAAAATAGTAACAAGGAAACTTTCACTGGGATGTACTTAACCAGCCCTGATCTCAGGCACTAACTTGGGTGCACGTGGCAACCCCTGAGAGTGGAGGAAAGGGGCCAGGGTTGGCATCTAAGCTGCTAACATTCTCCCTGCCCACTTTACAGATATGAAGGAGCCGGTGTTTGAATTTGTGCGGCCGCCCGTATACCATCCTCCGCAGCGAAAGTTCCCTCGTCGGCAGATCCTGAGGTACCTGGACAGGTACCGGGATACCGAGGAGCCCTCCTATGGCATTTATTAGGGGCCTGGCCTCTCCTCGCCATGCCCTGATGCACCCTGATGCACCCTGGACACAGGCCCAGAACATGGGACTGCCGGCTTAGATACCGAGGAGCCTTCCTATGGCATTTACTAGGGGCCTGGCCTCTCCTTGCCATGCCCTGATGCACCAGAGGATGCAGGCCCAGAACATGGGACTGCCGGCTTCTCCCTGCATTTGCAGAACTGTGGTGTCGGGAGCAGTCTGCACCTCCAGAGAAAGACACCTAAACCTCAGCTCTCTGGCTCTAGGTTCTGTTTTGCTGCCACTACCAGGAAGCAACTGAGAGCAACAGGTGTTTGCAGTGTTGGTAATTGTGTGGTCAGAAGGCTACTTAAGAGCATGTTAATGTATGAGAACAAAACTATGTCCGGGCTGAAATCTTGCTACTGGCAGAGCTGGTCAATAAGGGTGCTAGGGTAGAGTCCACCAGAGATGCTCTGCCTTGTTTCTGTAAAGGGATCAGAGCTCTGCTTTTGTCAATTTACAGCGCAAGTGGAGCTAGCCTGACCTGGGTCTTCTCCTCTTCCCAGTGCTGCAGTTCAAGATTCTGTTGGCTCTATTTTTGTACAGTTCTCTTAAAAACCTGAATCTGATTAAACACCTTGTGAGCAACGCCAGAGGCACTGCCTTGTGTTCACTGCTGTCCCAGCCAGACCTAGACCTGGGGAGTTCAGTGGGCTGCACCAGAGAAATTGAGCCCTTCCCCAAGGGTTTGGATCTCCTTCACCTCCTGGATGTCACAGGGAGAGAAGAGCACAGCTAAGTGTGTGCTAAACTTTGCAAGAGTCTGCACAATGTGAGCTTTGATGCATCTGGCTTTTCCCAACGACACATGCACCCCAGTTTTCATCCCCTCCCAAGTCCCGCTGTGCCTGGGGCTCTGGGGGAGGCACGGTTGGCCTGGCCTGCCCCTGCAAATGCCCTGGCAGCACCCTGGGGCGCTGCAGGATTGCAGAGAGTATCCCAGTGCCTGGGGAGGCAACTGCTGAGGGGCCAGGAGGCCTCGCTGAGAGCAAAAAGGGAAATCAGACTCTGCCTAACGCTCCTCTCCATGCAAACGCGCACAAACCACAAACACTTCCGCGCCGCGGGCGAGCGAGGCTCAGCGCCGGCACGGCCGAACCACAAGGGGCACCTGCCGGGTGTCTCTTTAAGAGCGCCTGGCTCTGTGCCCCGACCCGCCTTTGGGCTCTGCATCCTCCCTTCCTCCTTCCGTCCCTTCCTCCTTTCCTGGCTGGGTTTCTCTTTCTCTATCCGGTTCCCGCATAGCCACAGCGCGCCATGGCGTCGCTGTGCTCCCAGAAGCTGGAGGAGAAGCTGGTGTGCTCCATCTGCCTGGAGCTCTTCCACACCGCTGTCACCTTGCCCTGCGGCCACAACTTCTGCCGCCCCTGCATCAGCGGCCACTGGGACAAGCAGGAGGGCTCCGGGGCCGAGAAGGGCTACAGCTGCCCCGAGTGCCGCGAGTGCTTCGAGCGGCGCCCGGAGCTGCGGAAGAACGTGGCGCTGTGCGGCGTGGTGGAGCTGGCACGGGCGGGCGCCGAGGGGCACGAGGCGGCGGGTGCTGAGGGGCACGAGGCAGCGGGGGCCGAGAGACGCGAGGTAGCGCACAACGGTCAGTGCCCGCAGCACGGGCGCCCGCTGGAGCTCTACTGCGAGGACGAGCAGCGCTGCATCTGCTGCGTGTGCACCGTGCGGCAGTGCCAGCGGCACCGCCGCGTGCTCTTCGAGGAGGCGCACGCTAAAAAGCAGGTGGGGAGCCCCCGGGTATCCCCCTGTGTGGTTGGGGGGGGTCCCTGTGGGCAAGGCTAAGGGGACAGGGGAGCCCTCCCATGGGAGCCCTCTCAGCTGGTGGAGCCGTCATGGGCTCTTTCCCCAAGATTTGCACAAAACCAGCGATGCTGAGGTAAAAAATGCTGCTGTGCCTCTTCACAACCCCCTGGTCTCAGGGAAACAGCTAAAACATGAGGAAATCCAGCCAAATGCCTAGTTCCTCACTGAGGCCGTGCGCCACCTCCGTGTTCATGAGGGTTCTCCTCAGAGCACCGCGTGGGGCAACCTGCAGCCCTCACGGCCACACGGTGCTCGTGGCCCTCTTGCAGGCCCTTCTGAGAGAAGCCCTGGAAAAAGCCCGTCAGGAGGCGGAGAAGATCGGGCAGGCGATGCAGGAGCTGGAAGAGCAAACACGCAGCATCAAGGTAGCGGTGCGGGTGGATGCAGTGCCCTGGCAAGGCTCGGCTGGGAGCCCACTGCATCTCGCATGTCTTCCCCACCTAGGACTCCTCCGAGACACTGAAGTTGGTGGTTGTGAGCAAGTTTGACCACCTGGCGAAAGCCCTGGAGGACTGCCAGCAGCAGATGGTGGCCAGGATCGAGCAAGAGCAGGCAGCGGCGCTGGGACAAGTGGAGGAGAACTGGAAGCACCTGAAGGACTGCCTAGATGCCTTCAACCACCACAAGGAGAAGGCAGAGGACCTGCTGGTTTGCACTGACAAACAGACCTTCCTTGAGGTATGGCCCTGGCCATGGTGTCCCTTGCTGTCCCTCTCCATCCCCTTCATTGGTGCCTGGGTATTCCCAGCTAGCTCTGCTCCCTCCTGGAGAGGAGAAGCACAGCCAACCCCTTGGAGCTGCTGGTCCTCCCCAGTCCAGCTGCATGGGTGCCTGTCCATCCTTCCACAGGAGTTTCCCCTGCTCCCTTCTCCAGAGAGCCCTGAGGCAATGCCCCCCGTAGAGTTCAACGTGGGCATGGTAGAGCCCATCACTGAGATCCTCACGGACATCTCTAAGCTCTTGCTAGAAAACTTGCCCACCTACGAGGCCCCCAAAGCTGCTGACCCTGTAGCCCCAGGTAAGCCCCCTGCACATGGGTCTTCAAGCCCCTCTGGGCTACAGTCCTTCTCTGGCTAGTGTTACATTGGTGGGGACACAGCTGCTGGACACAGGGATTGGGAGAGGAACATGTGTCTGCTTTCCAGCTGGCAAGTATCAGTGGGGTGACATGTGCTAGGTGGCTTCCCTGAGCACCCATGTCCTTAGTGGCTATGCCAAGCCACAGTGATACCAACCTGTCCCAGGCTTGGATGTGAAGGATTTCCTCCTCCTCCTGAAGCTGGTCAGGAATGAGGTTTTGGGGCAGCATCACTTGAAATGCTCCCCCCTGAGCAAACTTCAGCCCCCACCATCCCCTTTGTGCTGTCCCCTCTCCACAGATCCAGTCCAGCCTGAGGTGCCCATGGTGGAGAAGGCAGTGGCCACTCTCCCGCAGTGCCAGCTCCGCACTGAGCTTCTGAAGGGTGAGGAACACAGTATGGGGTGGCTGGCGGGGTGCTGGGGTCCACAGCTGGTCCACAGCTGGCCTTGGGAACAGGGCAGTGACTTCCCCCGGTTGGGACCAGCTTTCCAGCAGAAACCAGAGCAGCTCATGCCTAGATTCTGGTCGGTCCCTGCAGAATGTGGCCGGTATCACAATGGCCCAGACCTCACCCCATTTCCATCCTGTTCTATCTGCTTCCCTCATCCATGGCTTCTCACCCAGGCAAGAGCAACGTGCCTGTTCCCAAGGTCACTTATTTAGTCACGTTTTTTCCCCGAGGCCACATCAGCGGTTGGTGCAGCCAGTGAGCCCACAGGGACCAAGTGCAGCCGGGCACTGAACCGGCGGGCGCTGCTCCCTTGTCCTGGCAAATGGCCCTGGGTTCTCCCACCTGCAACTCCACTCCAGACACAACCACAAAAGGGGACACAAGGCCAGGCTGTGGCAGGAGGAGTTAATGTAGCCGGCGCTGATGCCAGCAGCTCCCTGCAATACCATATTTGCTCATGTAACGCCTGGGTTTTCTCCCTGCTCTCTGTGCACACTACCCTCCACGCACCTTCCCGAGCTCGCCAGCAAGTCCTTGCACGCTCACTGCTCTCTGCTAGTTGTTTTGTGCCTTCCCTGCAGGGACAGGGCAAAAGCATCGTGTCTTTACACTTCATCTCCTTTTTCAAGGCCCATTTTTCATTCCTTTCAGTACAAGGGCAGGCCTGGAGGAGCCAGGCAGGCATCGCATCTCAACCCACTCCCCTTTCCTTTCCCCTCAAAAAGTGCTCGAAGTTGTTTCCATCCACCTTTGGGGTAACCCTTCAGCCTTGAACGGTGCAGATGGGGGGAGCAAAGGGACAGGACCAAAGGCACCATGAAGGGTTTTTGGTCCCCAGCCAAGGCCTCGCTCTCCCTCCCCTTTCCAGACCACCGCAACCTGACCTTCAACGCCAACACGGCCAACAGGTACCTGCGGCTGTCAAGCAGCAACCAGAAGGCCAAGCACCTGCGCAGCGCGGAGAGCCTGCGACAGGAGCACGACGCCCGTTTCGAGCTGTGGCAGGTGCTGTGCGACCAGAGCTACAACCACGGCCACCACTACTGGGAGGTGAAGGCATCCAGCCACTCCGTCATCGTGGGGGTGACGTACGGCAGCATCTCCCGCAAACAGCAGCCAGGCCACAAGTTCAACATCGGCCTGGACGGCGGCTCGTGGGGGCTGCAGGTGCGGGAGGACTGTTACCTAGCCTGGCACAAGGGCCGCTCGGAGAAAATCCAAGAGCGCTTCTACAAGAACCTGGGGGTCAGCCTGGACTATGGCAACGGGCTCCTCTCCTTCTACGGCCTCGGTGACCAGACGCAGCTCATCCACAGGTTCCACCACATCTTCACGGAGCCCCTCTACCCCGTCTTCTGGCTTTGCGAAGGGCGAACGATCACTCTGTGCCAGCGGGACTGAGCCTGGGCTCTCCCAGGGCATTAGCACCAAGGCGGGAGTGGGTACGGTGATTTAAATAAGACAGGGAAGGAAACCGGGCCCAATCTGTAAATGTAAATATCCTGATGCTGGCACATGTGAGGGCAGGACCAAGACCACGGCTGCTTCACTCAGATGCCCTCGTGGAGGGCATGGAGGCCCCCAGCCTCTCTGAGCTCACATGGTTGGTGCCCACCCAGGCAAGATGCAGGCAGCACGAGTGGGAGAGGAGGCGACGGGGAGGGCGCAAGAATGTGGCTTCCTCTTTCTCCTGGCCCAGGCGGCAGCACCTGCGCCAGAAGCTGTGGGGTGAGGGGATGCGGGGATGCTGTGGGGCCAGGATGAGGGCACCCTGCGCTCTCCCGGCCCAAATGAGACCCATTCTGCTCTGCCTACCTCTCCGGTGCCCACTGCAGGCTGCGCTGCCCTTCGCTTTGTACGAAGCTGCTTCTCCCCAGTAAAGCTCTATTTTCCTACTCGTTTTGACCTCTTCTGGCAGGAGCCGTGGGACCACAGGGCGCTGGCAGTGGCAAGTGGAGCCGCCTGACTCCAGTGCTTGTCCCTACATGGCTCTGTTGTGCCCGGCTGCACCCTGGAGAGCCACGACAGGAACCAGCCTCTTTGCGGCGGCAAAAATAGAAGGGCCCTTAGTGACGGTGCCGGCGTGATAAGGAAACCTGCTTTCCTGTCTCAAGGTTGTGGCGGCGCTGCC